CCTCGTTTTGCTGGCCTTGTGAACTCTTGTCCATTCTCTGGGTCTCAGCTCTGTCCCTTGTCCCATGCAGGTCTAGCTCAGGTTCCCATGTTACCTCTGCTGACAGAGCTCATTCCTTTCCTCTGGGCCATTGCCTGATTGTGCTCCAAACACACCTGTAGGGTCCATCTGTGAACTGACACCAGAAGAGTCCAGTATGTTGCGTTCACAACTATAGTATCAGCTCTTGGCATAGTGCCTGGCCTGCAAGAGGAGCTTAATCTATATTCATAGAATAATGATAGATTTTGATTAGGAAAGAGGGAAACATTCCAGAAAAGGAAATAGACTCCCACAGAAGGGAGTGACTGTCCACACAGAGAGGCATGTAAACACTGGTCCATGACAAGATGGAGGGGAGATTGTAGCAGGGACTCTGGAGAGTTTGCATCTGCTTGGTACCTTTGCAATGACAAGCACGCTCTCGTGGCTTACTGTGTTTCATTTTGTTCCAACTTTGGGTCATCACTGTTAGTCTCCACCATTGGGGAGACTTTGGGGGATCACTGAGGTTAAGTAATTTGAGGTCCCACAGCTAGAAAGTGACAGAGTGAAGAAAGAGTCCCGGGCCTGTTTTGTCAAACCAGTTATCTCTGCCCAGCCAGGGAGCCTGCCTGGCCAGCTGACGTGATCCTGGAGTTCTGGGATTTCCCAGGGAGGAATTACCTTGCTTTAAATGAAGCTTATCCCACCTACAGCTTTTGTTTTAATAGTTGGGTGGGTTTTAAAATCCCTCCGCATGATTAGACAAACTTATACCTTTTAACACGATGGTTTCATTTAACACTCCTAAAGATGTGCCCAGTAAATGAAAAAAAACTTAGTTTATGATTTTATTAAACACACACACACACTTCTCTCAGTGTTTGGCAAGGAGCAGTTTTCTGTTGTAGTACGGACACTCCTAGTTTCACAGGAGTCTTGGGTAAAACAAGCCCAGTCCTGTGGGGGTTGTGCTACATGCTTAAGTAGGTGGCATGACAGGGCCACCGAATGACTTATTGGTGGTGACTTTCAAGATAAAAACCTTTCACTTGGTGGTTGGTTCTCTTTCTCAGTGATACTGATCTTATAGTTGGTTATAGTTCTTCACTAAGTAGAAAACTTGTTTCTTTTATTATTTTTTATTTTTATTTTTTTTAAATATATCTTTATTGATTTCAGAGAGAGGAGAGGGAGAGAGAGATGTAGAAACATCAGTGATGAGAGAGTCATTGATCGAGCCCACAACCCGGGCATGTGCCCTGATTGGAAATCGAACCCCGATTGCCTGGATCCTAGATTGACGCTCAACTGCTGAACCATGCCCGGCCAGGCGAAAACTGTTGTTTCTTAATTGAGCAGAACTAATACCTGAAGTATAAAAGCATAGAAAGTCTTTTGACTTCACCATTTCAAAGGTTTATTAAGAGGATATTTTTCTGAATATTCCTCCCATAACTGATATAAAAACTATTGACCTGTGGTTTTGCAAGAACCAAGAGGATTTAAACTCAGTCTTTCACACTGCCCTGCTGACCCTTTAAAAATCTCTAATAGTCCTCCCGTGCTCTAAATTATCTAGAAACTTGATGACCTAACAGGATTTGTTTCACAGGTCTGTCATCCTGTTGGCGTATTGCTTAGTTTATTTGTTTGGACTAATTGGGTGATACGCTTTATTCTCGAGCCTCTGAGTGTCTCACACTGACCTCTGAGAGAGGTGGCCCACTGGGGAATGGAGGTCTGCCTGCCACCTGGGCATCACAGGGCCTTGTGTTACTCTGTGTCCTGGCCAGACCCCGACACCAGGATGTGCTGACCCCAGGGAGCTGACCGGTAGCCTTTCCTGACGGGAAGGCATCATGCCACCAAACCCTGAGCTCCCTGAGGGCAGGCTGTGTGTCTTTCACGTCACCTCACTGCCTGCCAGCCCAGCGTCCAGCCCACATGGGAAGAAGTATAAGCAGAGGGGGAGGGGCGGGTGTGTGTGTGTGTGTTGGTCTTTGTAGGCCCTTCCCTGCCCACTTGGCCTCAGTTTACTCCTCTCTGCAACACCTCCCTCCCTTGATCAGAATTACCCAGAAGGAGTAGTGTTTTTCAAAGGGAGCAGTGCTCCACGACACAGCCCACAGACGTGTGAGTTTACCCAACTCCCCTGATGCATTCGCGCCACCTCCCCCGCACCTCCATCCTTCCACTGTCTGGCCACGGAGAGTTACAGCTGTTGGGGGATGGCCGCGTTCCCCACCCCCTCTCTCTGCTTCCTAATCCACTCGTGTCTCTTGGCCACTCTTTCTTCCATCTCCTGGTAATTAACCATAACATGGCATTGCAGTAGAAAGAAATATCTGTTGTGTATATTAAATTAAATTTAGTATTTTTTACCTTAAATTTCCTTAACAAGGTGATTTTAATGTATACATATATCTTCATTCCCTCTGCTGTCTTAGACATTGAAATTAAGTTGCCCTTTAGCTCAGGCCCAATTTTCCCCTCTGTGGCCCCCTCGGTAGCCCTTGACCCACCATCTCTGCTTCAGGAGAAGGTCCCTGGGCTAGATGCAGGTGACAGTGTCGCTGTGCAGAGAGCCCCATGCACTGCTGTGCTGCCTGAGATCGGGAGAAGCAGCAGGGGCGACAGTGTGGCGGACCTGGGGAAGGAGAGGTGGTAAAGGACCTGGAACAGCAGTGGAAGTTCGGAGGTCAACCAGACGTTGATGAGTTTCCATGAGGGCGAGCCTAGGGCTCCCCTGGATCTGCTGTCTACATGCTCACCCAGTTTCCGGCTCTTCGGTGTCTTTAGTTTTGTTTTCAGGGGGTTTTTTTCTTTTTGGTTTCCTGTTTGAATGTTTGAATTATTTCAGCTTTGGTACATTATAGAGAACGGAAAAAATTCTAAGTAGAATTTTACCACAAGAAATGGTGGCTTTTTTTTTTTTTCCCCCCAGTTCTAGTCAGTGGTCTCATCTGCCATATATAGTCTGAGGTCACAGCTTAGATTTTAGTCTCAGATAGCCACCTTGTTGATTTCAGATGGTTCTGGGAATTACTCAGGTTGTCTTTATTTAAGTGTTACTTCTGATAGTGCGGTGGGGATCTCTGGGCATGTTTTGGTGCTGCTGATGAGGGGAATGTATGAGACCTACTTAATCCACTTTCTAATATAATAGAAACGCATGGTGCTTGTATAGCACCTCATTTCACCCACCACCCACGTGGTCTAGTCCAAAAGAAATTTCAATTTTGTCACTTGACAAACATTCAAGATGATCAAATCCGTAACTCCTGGCAATGCTGTTTCCTGCGTCACCAGCCCTCACTTCCTGGAGAGTCCCCATTGCCAAAGCCTCCTGCCACCCACACTCCCTTTGTTTCTTGCCCTTATTCTGGCTCCTCTTTTTATTATGTCGAATGGCTGAATCCCTGGTGGTGGAACCTTTTCTCCCTTGCTGCTAGTCCAGTCGGCATCCCTCGAGGCCAGTTCCCTGTTGAGCAGAGGGCTTCCGCAGGGCGGGGGAGGGGAAATGAGCAAACAGTTGCCGAATTCTCCATGGCAGCTGGCAGAAGGGGGACCCTGGCGAAGACCCTGACGTGGAAAATTTGATTCACTCTCAGCTCTACTTGGGGAAATGAGATTTGACTCAGGGGATCATCAAAGTTGGGATCATGAAAGTGTTTGCTAGGCCCCTAATGTATGATGCTCTCAGTCTGCTTTTTATGAGTTGTCATCCTGTTATTGACACCTGCAGGAAAATTTTTTTAAGTTCTCTTTTTAATGGCTTTATTTTACTTGCTGTGGCAAAGCTGAAGATTTCCTCAGCCACATAATTCAAAGTCAGGATAACCTGGTGATGAGGCATGCAGCTTCTGGCATCTCTAAATTCTGGCTTGACCACTCGTTTCATTTCTCCCCCTCAGAGTTTTCTCTTTTAAAAAATAAGCATGAACCCTGGCTGGTGCGGCACAGTGGTCAGTGTACCAAAGGGCCTCGAGTTCCATCCCCGGCCCTAGTCGGGGTGGGTGCAGGAGACAACCAATTGATGTGTCTCTCTCACATCGATGTTTCTCTCTCTCTCTCCCCCCTCTTCCTTCCTTTCTCTCTGGAATCAGTGAAAAACATATCCTTGGGTGAGGATTTTTTAAAAGAATAATGTAGAACTATATGTAGTGATATAAAAAGATGTTCAGCTTATAGCTTGATATGTTGATATGAAGAGAAAAAACTAAAATCTTGTGCAATATTCACTTCTAGAAAATGTTTATGACTACAATAGGAGAAACTATGTATCACAGATAATATTCTAGTTCTTACATGAATTTAAGGACTTACTAAAATATTAGCATATATCAGAATTTTCAAAGTTGGGAAATCAGCCTGAGTTAATGAAAAGTCTAAATTATAGATGTAAAGGCAGTATGGCTCTACATTTTTAAACAATCCATAAAAATTTTTACTAAATTTCTGTGTGGGAATAAGTCTATAATGAATAGTAAATCAGTTCTAAACAATAAACACCTGTGTTTGAAAATGTCCTGTTAAGTAACATAATAGAAATAATATGTATTTTTATTTCCAGGTAACTTTTTTCATTTCTTTATCTCCTGGTAAATTCTTTATTGAGAGTGTAAATGACCATCAAAGATGAAAAAAAATGCTGAAAGTGTAGATTCCAAACTGATGAGGCTTTTACTGTGTTAATCACTGGAATTCTCCTCAACCCCATACTGTGGAGGAAACTCTTTCACAACAAACCCCAGGATGTTTGGCCGTCGTTCAGAAGTCCTCTTCCTCATTTGTGCATGCTCAAGCATAATGTCATAAGGAATCTCCTGCACTTAGTAAAATATTGCAAGTACCCCGTTTGAGCTCTCTAGGCCTGTCAAGTTTCCCTCTCGTCAAATCAGGAATGGGAGCGTGTACCATGAGCAGCACATCTCTCTCTACCTCTCGCCTCTTCTTTAAGGGGCTGCTTGCTGGAAATGACGTCTGTGTGCCTGCTGATTGAGTCACCAGTTCTGAGTGGTAAGGTGATGCCACATGTTATGGCTGGTACTGATTTAAGAATATCAGAGTGTGCAGAAGTGGATGGTGGTGGCATCACTGGTCACCCCTGGTATGATTGTCCCCCGTGTGCTCGCTGCCCTGCAGAATCCCTGGCATCGCCCTTGGATTCAACAGATATTCAGCACAGGGCATAGTGCACTGTGCTGGCTCTTAAATCATTTCATTCCGTCTTTCCCCAGGGAGGTCAATAGTTTACCCCTATTGTACAGTTAAGACAAGGCAAGGTAAGAGAAGGCAGGTTTCTCAGTCACACAGCTAGGTAAGTGGGAGAAGCAGGCTGTGCGTTCAGGTTTGAGTGGTTCTGAAACCCACAGTCTTTCTGTTCACTCTTTCTCTTGAATTTTGGGAACAGATATTCTTGTATACAACACTGATGATAGGAGAACTAGGCATTTCTTTAATTTTTCAGGTTGAATTTTTGAATGTTTTAAAAAAATGTTTATGTAAATCAATCATAGACACTTTGCAGATACAGTAAAATTATCCAATGTATCTTTTTCCCCCTTAAAGCTGACCTGTGTCATTGTGATGTGATTTTTTTCAATTAAATTTTTGTAGGCAATGACCAAGTTCACTCCTGGACACTAGTCACAAGCCAAGCCTTAGACATGGCGTGGGGAATAGCAAAGGGGTCCGTGATGTTGGCAGTGTCATTCCTGGTGGCCACCCTCTGCTACTTCAGGAGGCTGCACTTACATTTAGGGCACCGGTTGAAATGGTAGGTGGTTATATCATCTTCAAATTTCTAAAATATCTCTGTCATGAAGGTAGAATTTTGGTATTATTGTTTCCTTCATCTTTTAGGTGGAGTGGATATCTGCAAAGAAAATTCAAAAGTAAGTATTTTCACACGTATCTTTCCTTATTTTTAAGGTACAGAGAGGGTTCACGAAGGAAGAGGAAAGGGAAAATTAACTACCTTTTATTATTTGTTTGGTTCAGGGAACCTCAGTGTGGAGGCGGAAGTTGATTTACTCAGCTATTGTGCAAGAGAATGGAAAGGGGACACTCCCCGTGCCAAGCTGATGAGGAAGGTGTGTCTGTCTGTAAAGGTCCTGGAAGATGGAGAATGTGTGTGAAAAAGTCAGGAAACAAACATTCCATCCTGCTTTATGGATCCAGAGATACCAAATGTGACACGAGGGACAACTGTGGCTCTAATTTAAAAGCCAAACAGCTGCTAGATATTGGTTTTGGGCCTTTTACATAGAACCAGTGCCTTTGAGGATGGGGGTAAACTCAGCCTGTGATTTCAGAAATCTTGAAGTCAGCTCTTTTCAGCTCTCCTGGCCAGGCCTGTGAAACCTCTGCACAAGCAGGGGAGACTCCTGCCCTTGAAGGGATCAGGCCCCTTGGCAAAAATATTGTGAGAATTTTTAGAATTTTCCATTGGATCAGTCTTGGTAAAGTCTTGGTAAATATCCCCAGCAAAGCTGCCCAACCTTGTCACTAGCAAAAGAAGAAAAAAGAAATGGTACATTTAAAGTAGTTCTTAGCATGGTTTTAAAGTACACAGTATTTTTCACTGATGAAGCTGTGTCCATGACCTCCCCACAGTGAGAGGGGAGGTCATAGACACAGCTCTCTCTCTGAAATCAGTATATCTTTATTGATTTCAGAGAGAGAGGAAGGGAGAGGGAGAGAGATAGAAACATCAGTGATGAGAGTCATTGATCAGCTGCCTCCTGCATGGCCCCAACCAGAGATTAAGCCCACAACCCGGGCATGTGCCCTAACAGGAATTGAACCTCGACCTCCTAGATCCTAGGTCTATGCTCAACTGCTGAGCCACGCCCGGCCAGGCCACTTTCCTTAATTTCTTATCCAGTGGACTTAAAAAACTTTCTCTTCTTGTGCTAATAGGCTTATGAGGAGCTGTTTTGGCGGCGTCATATTAAATGTGTTCGACAAGTAAAGAGAGATAACTACGATGCTCTACGATCAGTGTTATTTCAGATATTCAGCCAGGGACTCTCTTTTCCATCCTGGATGAAAGAAAAAGACATTGTTAAGGTATGTCCTCACACCAGAAACATGTGAGAGTCACCTTGATGACAACTGTAACATAGCTGCTCTGGGTCTCCTGTGAGTGGGAGGCTCTGTACACAGGGCGTACTGAGATTGAAGGGACTCTGAGAGGTCCTTTAACCAGGTCCTCTGTCTCTCACATCAGTTTGCAAATAGACCATCTCAGTTTTACTTGTTTGTTTTTAATGCCCTCATCTTTTCTTGAGAAGGGCATCTGTCCTTTATAAGTAAGGTGGTCTACTAAAATTCACTTTTTACAAATACATACAGTGTTTAACCACTACCCCAAAGATTCCCTTGTTTTCCTTCATAGTCGGTTCCTCTCTCACTCCCAGCCTCTAGTAACCACTAATAGGTCTTCTGTCCTGTAGTGCCTTTTCTAGAATGTGATATAAATGGAATCATCCTGTGTGTAGCCTTTTGAATCAAGGTCTTTCACTTAGCATAGTGCATTTGCAGTTCATCCAGATGGTTTCGTGAATATGTTGTTGGTTCATTTTTATTGTTGAGTGGTGTAGGTTGACATGAATGTCACTGTTTATCCATTCACCAGCTGAAAGACATCTATATTGTTTCCAGTGTTTGATACTGTGAAGAGAGCTGTTATAAATATTCCCGTACAGGATTTTGTATGAACATAAGTTTTCATTCCTTTAGGGTGGGATTGCTGGGTCTTATAGTAGGTGTATGCTTACTTTATTAGAACCTGCCCAACAGTTTTCCAGAGTTGCTCTGCCATGATGCACTCCCACCACAAATGTGTCGGAGTTCCAGTTGCTCCACATCCTTACCAGCACTTGGTAGTGTCAGGGGGTTTTGTTTATTTGTTTTTGTTTTGTTCCAGCCATTCTAATAGGTGTGCATTAGTATCATTGTGCTTTTAGTTTGCACTTGCTGATGAGTTACGAGATTGAACATCTTTTACTATGCTTATTTGCCATTCATATTATTTTTTTGGAGAAATGTCTGTTCAAATCTTTTGACCATTTTTTATTGTTTTTGTTATTGAGTTTTGAGAATTCTTTACATATTCTGAATGCAAATGCTTTGTCATATATGTGATTTGCAGATATTTTCTCCCAGTCTGTGCCTTGTTTTTTCATTTTCTTAACAGCATAAGACAGTACCTTCTTGGTGATAACCTGAATTTTTATTTTCAATGCAGTATGCCTAATCTGAGATGTACATTTGAGTAAAGCAAGATAAAGTATATGCATACACACACACACACACACACACACACGTTCTATTTCCTTTACATTTTAAATTTCGAGTTGTTTATATTAGTTTCATTTTCTATAGCAAATACTTGACAGGTATATGCTAGCCTTGCTGCTCTTGCTGAGCACAGAGACCACAACTGAGACCTGGCCTGTACAAGCTGAGCTGGGTGGGAAATGCATAGAGTGCCTACAATGGATCAGATTCTGGGGTATCGCATAATCTTATTTAACCCCAACTAGTCCTGTAAAATTTTCCTTGATTTACAGTGGAGGATGAGGCTGAGCCATTAAATAACCTGCTGGTTGAGTAACCTCCCAGCTGGTGAGTGACAGGGCTGGGTTTGAGCCCCAATGGGCATCCTTCTAAAATCCACATCTTCCCAGAAATACTGTGTTGCTCTAACAGTGATTAAAATTAAGTTTTAAAGGGATATATCTTGGTAGTTTGGAAATGTTTTATCCAAAAAGATTATTTGTATAGACTTAATCTTATATTTAAGTTTTCATCAATTGTGAAATTGTGAATTGTGGATATGATCCAAATCACAGAGTCCACAAATCTAAAAATAACTCTATGTTTCTCCTTACCCGTGGTGGTAGTCTTTTTAAATGAGAATTGCTAAATGAGATGAGATTAAGTGCTGTGACATATTCCAAATTGTATAATAAATGTTGAGATACTAATCATTGTTGGCATCTTCTTTTTCAAGCTTCCTGAAAAACTGCTTTTTTCACAAGGTTGTAATTGGATCCAGCAATACAGTTTTGGTCCCGAGAACTATACAGGTTCAAATGTGTTTGGAAAATTGCGCAAATGTGTGGAATTATTGAAAACACAGGTGAGTGTTTGGTAGCTGGGGTAAAAGGCTAGGAATGCAAGCATCCATCCCAAATGTAGCCGCTTTCCTCTGATGTCAGGCAGATCGCCTCATGTCAGTTAGGTAGGAAATGCGGGCAGGAACCCTGCTGCCGGTAACTGATGGCTCCTTCTCCTTAATCTTCATTCTCCGCGTGACGAACGAGAGAGCAGTGTTGTTCTATGTGACAGTTAGGCCCTTTATGGGCTAAGGAGCCTTTTGTGGGCATCCAGGAAACCTCAATAGTCATGGACCTTTGTTTCCCCAGAAAAATGAGGTGAAGTTCCAGACAAGGTGCTCAGAAATGCCCTTCTGGAATGCGCCCTGTTTACAACATGGCAACAGCAAAGATGTTACAGTGTGACTCATAGTTTTTCCAGTCTTTGACTAAGAACAGATTCTGAACTGTTGGAATGAATTCTCCTTGGGAAACACCATAACCTTTCTGGGCCATAATTTTCTTATCTGTAAAAGTGGAATAGAAATAGTATCTACCCTGTACAGTTCTGGTGAGGTTTCAGGAGATAATACACGTGGAGGGCCTTCAACTGTGCCTGGCACCACTGTGTGAAGGAATGCCAGCCAGCGCTGCTGGCCGCCGGACCTGCCTCTGTGGAACCCAGCCATCTTCAGCAGTTCTAGGAAACCGACTTGCTTAGTGCTTTGCCTAGCGGGTGGTGCTTTTGTGAAAAAAATATCTCATTGAAATGAGTTTGTTATTGTAAAAGTAATACGCACTTATGGTTTCAAAAATCCATGTCAGAAGATCTAAAATGAAAAGGTAAGTTCCATTCCCTTCTGCTAATCTTTGTTTTATTTTATAAGTACTTTATAAGTCATGCAGTGTTGTGTATATTGGCCCTGACCCTTCCAAGTTTCATTTTTATGTCTTTGTTTTTAGTGGGCCGAATTCAGTGGAATTAAAGATTATCACAAGAGAGGAAGCATGTGCAACATCCTTTTCTCCGATGCCATTCTGGAGTACAAGCTTTATGAAGCTTTAAAGTTCATCATGCTCTATCAGGTCACTGAAGTTTATGAACAAATGAAGATGAAAAAGGTCATTCCTAGCCTTTTCAGACTCCTGTTTTCCCGGGAAACATCATCGGATCCTTTGAGCTTCATGATGAATCACCTGAATTCTGTAGGCGACACATGTGGACTAGAACAGGTACATGGGGCAAGAGAATCATGTGTGTTTGATCAAAGAGGATATTGGCAATACCTGAACACGTAGGCAGTTGGTGTTTGCTTGCAGCAGTGATAAGACCAGCTACTCAGAGTGGTCAGTTGGTATTCCTGCCCCTGAAATGCGGAAAAGAAGAGTAATAAGCCTCACTGCTAGGCTGGCTGCTATGTGTCTTTCCAGTCCTGTGGCTGCAGAACAGCAGTGCTGGGGAGCCTTTCTGACCTTGACACTGCCTCTCAGTAGCTAACAGGTTTTCCCACGACACAAGTTAACCAGGAGAAATTCCAGTTGGAAAATGAGATAAGGTTTGGGAAAGCATTTGGTTCTTACACAGATAAGTAGAAATTATTAAATTTTTTCTAAACCCAGAAAATGCTTTTATATCCCCATATAAAAGAGGTTTTGTTTTGCTTTCCCAGGAGGTGCACAAAATCATCTGAACTTTTTACACAAACTGATTTAAAACATATAAAAATGGTTTGAAAACAGTGTAATTTTATTATGAGCATTCCTTTATTTTTTTCCAAACAGCTTTTCCTGTGATTTCCTCATACTAGTCTAGAGAGATGCTCCCTTGCTTTTCCCCTGCCTTCCATGTAGTGGACATTTGTCCCTAACTCTGTGCCCACGCAGTGGCTCTTCTTGTGGGTCCGTAAACAAGTACGTTGTTTCACAAGCTGCAGGAAAACAGGCTCCCCACGCTCGTGGGAGGGCAGGAATTTGGAAATGCGTATTTGTGACCTCTCTTTCATCTCTTCCCCAGATTGATATGTTTATACTTGGATATGCCCTTGAAGTCAAGATAAAAGTGTTTAGACTGTTCAAGTTTAACTCCAGGGACTTTGAAGTCTGCTACCCAGAGGAGCCACTCAGGGAGTGGCCGGAGATCTCCCTGCTGACCGAGAATGACCGCCACTACCACATTCCCGTCTTTTAAGTCTAGCAAGGACCGGGCACCTGCCAATGACAGTGGTCACACTTGCCAATAAAGTGTTTCTGGAAAACTAAAACTAGTGTTGCAGTCACGAAGGAATTAGGACCTTCTCCAGGATTACAGGTACACAGTATGCAAGAGTGCACAAGTAGCTTTTCTTTGTTTTTCGGTGATTTTTCTCCAAAGGAGCTGCAGTAATATATTTGTGGGTTGTGGTTTGACCTTGTTCGTAAGGGCTTGTGGTCACTTCACACATAGTGGGCCTTGAAGAGCATGAAAACGTTTAATTTGGACAAGAACAACAACAGGCAAAAGGAGAAAAGAAGATGGGTAGGAAAAAAGACTAACCTGGAAAGAATGCATTTGTTTCTAATGCTTACGCTCTTCAAGGGTCTTGTCTTCAGTTGGTTTTGGATCCTTATAAACATGGCTTTATTTTGTGAGCATTACCTTCCCAGGGCCTGTGGCATATTAACTTTCTAGAATCACTTGATTAACTGCAAAATTATGGGTGTATGTATATACACACACATACCCACATGTGTACATATAAACACATACACACAACCACTACTTTGTAATTTTGTACAATTTGTTTTACATCTCTTTACATTTTTTTAATTGTTGCATCTGGCCAGTTTAATACATTTTATGTAGATAAAAAAGATAAATTCTGTAGATTATGGAACTGAATGACAGTTATTGAACTGTCATGAAAACATTAAACTGTGGTGTATTGACAAGTGTATTTAATGTGTGGTAGATAGAATCACGCCCCCCTTTCTCCTGTTTTCCCAGAAAGATGTCACATCCTGATCCCAGAACCTGTGACTATGTTGGGTTAAATGGCAGAGGAGAGCAAAGTTGCAGGTGGAATTAAGGTACTAATCTGTTGACCTGGTGACAGGGAGATTATTCTGGGTTTGGGTGAATCCAGTGTAATCACAAGGGTCCTTAAAAGTGGAAGAGGGACTTGGAAGAGTGTCAGAGTCAGGGGAAATGATAAATGCAGGACACTTGAGAGAGCTGCGACATGCTGGTGTTGAAGATGCAGGAAGGAGCCACAAACCAAGGAATGCAGGTGGCCTCTGGAAGCTGGAAAGGCAAGGAAATGGATCCCCCCTGGAGCCTCCAAGAAGGAACGCGGCCCTGCCAACACCGTGATTTTAGCCCATTGAGACCTGGGCCAGACCTCTGACCTCCAGAACTGTAAGATACTAAATTTGTGTTGTTGAAATTGCTGTTTTGGGGACTGTGTTACAGCAACAATAGACAATACTCGGGCAAACTAACTTTTGGTTCATCTTTATTTTGTAAATACTTTTCTAGTTTATTTTGGTAATTTTTATTTTGGAGGTACTTTACTAGTCTGTCGTGAATTTCAATAAATACAAAATAACTTTTCAAATCTTGGCTAATGATCTACCGGCTTCCTTAATGTGTTTGAGGATGACATTTTCTCACATTTTCATATCATTTCTACCGTAAATGAAAAAGAGGTATGGCAAATGCTGCTTTGTATGAAAATAACATTGACTCTTTATGGGGATAATCACCTGTATGTATTACATAAGCCAGACGTCTAATCGTACATTGTGTTCTGCCTGTTGTCATTTTGTTTTCTAGTTGGAGAGTAAGAACTCAGATCAAGGGGCTTTTTGCATTACGTTGAGAGCCACACAAACAAAACAGCAGTTCTTAGTTGATCTCTACAGTCCTTTCCTGCTTGGAAGTTCCTATGGTTTTGCAGAACCCCTGTCATTTAATTGACACTATTGAAAGTTATCCCCTTGAAGCATTACAGTGACCTAGAAAAATGAACTCTGCCCTTTGTGTTGACAAGCAGACATGATGAGAGCCTGCAGCAGGCTGTGACTGATACTCCTAGAATTTCTGCTCCAGACTTCTGGCTCCAGTGGAGCTGTTCAGGGACGTACCTGGCTTTGTATGTTACCACTCGCCTTGCATCTCCTTACCCAATGTAATTGTTCCCACGTCCATCCAGGGTTGAAAGGAAGAACTCTTTCACAGGGACTCGCAACCTATGGCTCTGTGACATAGCAACCCATTATGTCTATCCTTGTGTTGGGGGGCAGGGCAGAGTGGGGCAAGAATTCTTTAGATAGAGGGGCAAGACCAAATTGTGAAAACAGGACATTTCAATACAATGAAAGGAAAAAGTAAAGAAGACCTATAAATAGTTGCTATTTTGGGAAAGGCATCAAAACAGAGGATTTTAAGGGAGGAGATACTGGCTGTTTTTGTTGTGTTTTGTTTCTAATTCTGTTGTAAATTGAATGTAACAAACTAATTAGAAGGAACTGCATACAGATTAGCACCACTTTTAAATGCCAGCAATAAATTGGAGGTGAACTGCCTGTGTGATGCCAACATTTAGTGTCTTTCTAACCTTATTTGTGTTTAATGATGAGAGAATTATAGCAAAAATTAAAACATATACCCTTGTCTTTTTCTGATTTTAGAATGTTTCTCTCAAATTTTGGGCATGTGTGTCCATACTGAGGGGTTATATGAATATTAGTACAAGACTGAGTTTTCTTATTGTGGTAAAATATGCATAACGGAAAATTTACCATTTTAACCATTTTTAAATATACAGTGATGTGGCATTAAGTACCTTCACATTGTCATGCACCCGTCACCATCGCCCACCTCAGAACTTTGGTTATCTTCAAGACTGACTTCTTTGATACGAGGCACTTTTAATTCTCCTACCTGGTACCTGAATTTTTTTTCTTTAAAAATTTTTTTTAATTGCTTTTTTTAGAGGGGGGGGAGAGAGAAAGAGACAGATCAATTTGTTGTTCCACTTATTTTTTCATTCACTGGTTGATTCTTTATGTGCCCTGACCAGGGATCAAACCTGCAACCTTGGTGCATAGACAATGCTCTAACCAACTGAACTGCCTGGCCAGGGCTGTCCAACATGTTTAATCATAGCTAAAGGTAGCTTCTGATAAGAGATAAAAATCTTTCTTTCCTATTTACCTACAACGATACAACTATTTCACAACAAACATCACTTTCAGTGTCTGTCACCTCATCTCTGCTCCTTTTTTAAGGGAGTCATAAATGTGTCTACTTGGAGTCACATAATGAAAGTTCCAGGGCATTCAAGCAGCCATTCAGGTCCCCGCCCCAGTTGTTAGTCTGCACCAGCTGCTTCTCTTCACCTATCCTTGGAGTCCTTTCCCATGAAGCTCAGTCCAACAGACGAGCCAGCCCCCAGAGGAAGTCTGTGTACAGTGGACAAAGGCCAGGACTTGATGGCTACTAGTAGTAGTTCCCAAGTTGCTTCCCAGATTTTGTCTTTGGGGATGGCAGTGATAACAAGAAATGGGGCCAGGAAAGTCTCAGACTTTTGTGCTCGCCCTTATAAATTTGTTGATGTGTGATAAGGCGCAATGGAGGAAAGTTATGCACTGTCCGTGAAGCATTCTGGCAATGCTGATTTCACCCTCACCCCACCTTTTCAAACATGTGGGTGAGCAAAACAAAACTAAAATGCTCTGCTGAAAGTTTTAACTACTGACCTCTATATGGTTCCATCTAGATGTTCTGCCTGAGGTCTTACAAGTTAGGAACAAATATTCTTTGTTTACAAATAGGCTATTTCAATGGAAAAATATTTCTGTACTTCAGAAATGCTTCTTAGAACACAGTTCTGGTTTAAATAAACTACTTATACAGAAATGGGTTTACAACCCATCTAGACTAAGCTAGAAGTCACTATAATTCCAACTTACAGCTTCCTTCAGTGAAACCTTCAATTACAGCAGCCCCTCCCAAGTTCAAAAAAGAGCGTTCCTCTCCTTTGTTTCTCTGGACTTGCACACGGCTCACCATTAGAAGTGTGTCCTGAATTGTAATTCTTTGTTGTTCCTGAATAAATTCATTTTACTGGGAATATTTGGCTGTCTATTTGTTTAAGGTCAACACTTGCATAAAAGGTCTGCTCAGCAGAGAGGTCGTGGATCAGTTTACATTTGCAGTAGGATGCTACTTATTTGAGGAGGCTTTCCTAGATTTCTACATTCTCTTAGCAGAAATCAGCAAAGATCTCATTTTTATATCAGTTCTTTGTGCTTAGCAAAAATCTTCGTCATCACATTTTATTTCTTTACTAGATTTCAAGCTGCTGTGGGAAGAAGAGATGTAGGTCCTTATATCATTGTAACTATAACTGTTCCTACAAATATCGAGTTCTGAACTGCAAGTTTATAATGAGAGCCAAGTTCAGCTGTTACTTCTTGAAGAAACAAAAAATCTAATAATGTGATTTATTTCCCCCTGAAATTTATTTTTATTGATCTAGGACTTGAAGAGAGCAAGTTTTTGTTTGTTTTCGTTAATCCGCACTGGAGGACATTTTTTTCTATTGGTTTCTTTTAGAGAGAATGGAAGGGGTGGGGGAGAGAGAAAGGGAAACATCAATTTGAGAGAGACACAATGATTGGTTGCCTCCTGCAAGCACCCCAACCAGCGCCAGGGATCAAATTGCAACCCAGGTACACGCCCTTGACTTGGGATTGAACCCATGACCCTAGCCAGGGTGAAGGGAGCAAGTTTTTAGATGTAGTCCTGGAAGAGGAGCTTCCTGAAATTCATGATACCCTGACATAACAAATGTTAGCGGTCAAACCAAGTTTTGCTAACACTGTATATCTAGTGAGGTTACAATTAACCAAGGACATTGAGTTCACCCAGAAACAGGTTCTTAAACAAATATGGCTCATGAAAAATTATTTATGGGTTCATGAACTCCTAAGAATGAACAGAATCTTAGGATGTTTAGGGAACACACGTGCCGTGTTCCGCTGCCTGGGGAAGAGGCCTGACCCCAATCTGGACACTGCAGAGCCTCCTTGCAGGCCCCAAGTTGGAGACAGCAACGCAGGACCCAACATCAGGCCGGTGTGGCAAACAGGAAACAAGGGCATGGGCAGCCTGAATAGGAAAAGCCACTGCAGGAGCACTTGAGTCCACCTCAGATGTTTATCAAGGTTAGAAACAGGACACGCCCAAGGTGCACAGCTGAAATCAGGAAAAACGAAGTCCTACATAAGATTATCACCAACACAGGAAAATACATTTTGGCAGGAGGTAGGATAGGAGGGAGTTCGTAAAGAACAGGCGGCATGTAATGGTCTCTTCTCCACCAGACCATTAACCCAGACACATCCATCACACCTCGGTTCCTGTCAGTCTTCACACCTGTGAAAGGCAAACGCCGTGCTTGGCCTTTGCCGGCCTCATAAATGGGCTGAAGACAGGCACAAGCTAAATGTCTATAATAAGGAAAAGTTTTGAGCAAATCCATTAATTCCAATCCTGTGTGGGTTTTTATTGTGAAAGACAAATGTTTACAAGCTTAAGTGGCTATTTTATGATTAGTATGAAATATTGCCTGAGTGTAAATCAGTCTTGCCAGAGATGCAAGAAATAAGAGTTCCTAACATACTTTGGGTTCTGTTCAAGCAGTTTGAGTTGTAAGGAGAGAAAACCACTTAAGTGAGTTTGCGAGGGAGAACCCCACAAAGTGACAGGGTGGGAAGTATGGCCAGGTCCGGAAGTTGCCTGAGACCTAGAGAGCCAAGAATTAAGGTTTCTAGCTGTTTCCCCTATGATCCACGTGAGAGATGGACTCACTGCTCAGTTCCCTGCCTCCCTCTGTACATGTTCTCTCTCTCCTTTCCTCTCTTTGTCTCTCTCCTCCTGTAGCCCCTACTTGTCTCCTTCCTGGCACACAAGGCAGCTCCTACCATTGAAGGAAACTGCACCTTAGTTCCCCTGCTCAGATTTCTGAGAAGTAGACTCTGATTGGCTCAGCCCTCCCATGGCCCTTGAACTACGTGCTCAACTCTAGCCAACCGTCTGTGGTCAGGGTCTGGGGGCCTGCAGCACAGATTCAAAGTTTCTGGGAAGCGGACATGAGCAAGACATGGCTCAGACCACACATAATGCGCGTGGAGATTTTTATAGCTCAAGTGCACACGCCAGTGACCTTCAGCGATGGATGAAGAGTCTAGTTCCTAATTAAGGTTAGCCATCATCCAGGCAGCACCCCCGCTGATGGAAATGTTAATGAGTTCATTGGAGAAGAGCAAAGGCAAGTGCCAGATGGCACTGAGGTAGCAGTCCCACGAGGTTGCCGTCCCACGAAGTTGCCCTCGGAGAAAAGTTACAGGTGCCCAGATTAATTCCCTTCGTGTGCAGGTTTGTTGCCGTTGGTCAACTGAATAGCCAAAAAGGTACACCTATGCTGTTTTTACAATGCAGACCGAAGTTCTGTGAGTTTTCCCGCGGCGTTTTGATAGAAAGGGAATTACAGTTCCCCTTTGTCCTCTAAATCTTACCTAGGTGCGTTTTCAGCCACACTTTTGGCCTGCAGT